ATATATATATATATATATATATATATATATATATATATATATATATATATATATATATATATATATATATACAGAGAGAGAGAGAGAGAGAGACGAATTATCTTACTTGCATATCAATGCCCAGAAGTGTTACATTCAGTATCATAATGTTAGATAATCAAATAAGAGAAGGGAAAGCATGTAGTATGCTTTTACTTCGTTTGTTTGAACCTTTGTTTATTCATGAGAAGCTTAAATATACAATTCTCGTGCCTTTTCTCCTTTCTGGAGACATGAGTTTCTCCATTACAGCAGTATTTGAGAATGTCATAACAAAGAGAATGACATCCTACGTCCTACGTCGAGCATGAACATTCTTCAAGATCATAACAAAACGAAACATGTCTTCATAACACGAGAAAGTGAGACTTCAGAAGAATTCCCCTAGTCGACAATGTTGAAAACATGGTTTAAAATGCTTAAAGCTACAAGAATATCATATATTTCTAATCCAGCCTGTGGTTAATATCAAAATTAGATTGAACTCACCATCTGATGGTTGCATTGTTGGAGTCCCCAGAGCTGTTTTCTGAGTTGTTTTAATAGTTCTGTCTGTAGTTTCAGCTGTGCTCTGGTAAGATGTGCTTTTACCTGTTGTTGTAAATGGCATTGTTCCAGTAGGTTCTATTGTAGAGGCTCTTTCTGTAGGAAGAGTGGTTTCGTCTGTCGTTTGTGGTTTCGTTGTCACAGTAGTTATCTCGCTACTTGTTATCTCATTTGTTGTTGCTGTAGATGTGCTCTGATCATATGTACTTTCACGTGTCGTTGTAAATGGCATCGTTGGGGTAGCTTCTGTTGTGGAGGCCCTTGTAAGACTTGCGGTTGGCACAGTCGTTTCCGGTTGTGTTGTTATAGTTGTAAACTGACGAGTTGTAGAATCAGTCGTTGTTGTAAATGGCGTGGTTGCAGTAGGTTGTACGATCGAGGCTCTTGTTGTAGGACCAGAGGTTGTAGCCAGCGTCTCCAGTACTGTTTTGTAAGTTGTCACCTGATTAGTTGTTGTTTCACTCGTTGTAAAAGGCGTTGTTGCAGTGGACGGTGTTGAAGATGACCTTGTTGAAGGACCAGCGGAAGCGATCGTTGTCTCTGAGCTGGTTGGTACAGTTGAGATCTTGCCTGTTGTAATGGCACTTGTTTGAGGTAATGTTCTCGCATTTGCTGCTGACACTACAGTTCTAGCTGTAGTTTCAGTTGTTAACTGACTAGATGTAATTTTGCCTGTTGTCTGTGGCATTGCTGCCGTGGATGGAATGAATGTTGTAAAACCATCAGTAGTGGCTGTTGTTTCCGGTTGCGTTGTTTTCGTTGTTACCTGTTCAGGTGTTTCTGTACTTGTTGTTGTAAACGGCGTTGTTGTAGTAGACGTTGTTGTTGCTGTGGAAGGCTCTAATGTAGGACCAGCGGCTGTGCCTGTACTTTCTGATGTATGTAGAATTGTCGCTGTAGATTCTGTTGTAGAAATGCTTGTGGAGAGAGCACCGGTTGTGAATGTTGTTTCTGGTTTTGTTGTCACTGTTGAGGTGCTGCCACTTGTTGTGTAGGGAAGTGTAGCTGTAGATTCTGTTGTAGTAGCCTTTGTTGTAACACCAACAGTTGTACTCAACGTCTCTAGTACTGTTTTGTAAGTTGTAACTGGAGGAGTTGTTATTTCAATTGGTGCTGTAGATATTTCTGTAGAAGCCCTTGTCGTAGGACCAGTGGTTGTGGCAGTCGTTGCAGGTTTTGTTGTTACAGTTGTAACCTGGCCAGTTGTTATTTCGTTCGTTGTTGTCAGCGGCTTTGTTGTGGTAGATGCGATTGTAGAAGCTCGTGTTGTTTGACCGGTGGTTGTGGCTGTCGTTTCTGGTTTTGTTGTTACAGTTGTAACCTGGTCAGTTATTTCGGTCGTTGTTGTAAATGGCTTTGTTGCGGTAGGTTGTAACGTAGAAGCTTGCATTGTAGGACCACCGATTGTTTCTTGTGTTGTCGCTTGAGTTGTGATCTGACCAATTGTTATTTCGTTTGTTGTTGTAGATGGCTTTGTTGTTGTAGATGCTTCTGTAGAGGCCCTTGTGGGACTGGTGGTTGGCATCGTTGTTGTTAATGGCATTGTTGTGCTAGACATTTCTGTAGAAGCCTTTGTTGTATGACCAGCTGTTGTGACTGTTGTTTCAGGTTTTGTTGTTACAGTTGTGGCCTGACCAGTTGTTATTTCAATTGTTGTGTATGGTAGTGTAGCTGTAGATGCTGTTGTAGTACCCCTCGTTGTAACACCAACGGTTGTGCTCAACGTCTCTAATACTGTTTTATAAGTGGTGACAGGAGGAGTTGTTATTTTGTTTGTTGCGGTAGATATTTCTATAGAAGCCCTGGTTGTAGGACCAGCGGTCGTGGCAGTCGTTGTCGGCTGTGTTGTAGTTGCAGTCGTAGCCTGACCAGTTGTTATTTCGTTCGTTGTTGTCGGTGGCTTTGTTGTGGTAGATGCTCGTGTTGTTTGACCGGTGGTTGTAATTGTCGTTTCTGGTTTTGTTGTTACAATTGTAACCTGACCAGTTGTTATTCCGTTCGTTGTTGGTTTTGTTGTGTTAGGTAGTATCGTAAAAGCTTGCATTGTAGGACCACCGGTTGTTTCTTGTGTTGTCACTTGAGTCGTGATCTGACCAGTTGTTATTTCGTTCGTTGTTGTAGATGATGGCTTTTTTGTTGTAGATGCCTCTGTAGTGGTCCTTGTTGTGGAACTGGTGGTTGGTATCGTTGTTGCCAATGGCATTGTTGTGCTAGACATTTCTGTAGAAGCCCTTGTTGAATGACCAGCTGCTGTGACTGTTGTTTCTGGTTGTGTTGTTGCAGTTGTGAATTGGCCAGTTGTTGTAATTTCACTTGGTGTGTAGGGTTGGGTAGCTGTAGATGCTGTTGTAGTACCCCTTGTTGTAAAACCAAGGGTTGTGCTCAACGTCTCTAGTACTGTTTTATACGTTGTGACAGGAGGAGTTGTTATTTTGTTTGTGGCAGTAGATATTTCTGTAGAATCCCTGGTTGTAAGACCAGTGGTTGTGGCAGTCGTTGCCGGTTTTGTTGTTACAGTTGTGACCTGGTCGGTTGTTATTTCGTTCGTTGTTGTCAATAGCTTTGTTGTGGTAGATGCGACTGTAGAAGCTCGTGTTGTTTGACCGGTGGTTGTGGCTGTCGTTTCTTGTGATGTCGTTTCAGTTGTGATCTGACCAGTTGTTATTTCGCTTGTTGTTGTTGGCTTTGTTGTGGTAGGCAGTATTGTAGAAACCTGCATTGTAGGACCACCGGTTGTAACTGCCGTTTCTTGTGTTGTCGCTTGAGTTGTACTCTGGTCAGTTGTAATTTCGTTCGTTGTCGGTATGACTGTCGACCCCACATTTGTGGCGGCACCTGTTGTTTGTTTACTTGTCGTTGCCATCGAAGTTGTCCCTCTGGTAGTTACAGGGTCTAAAAAGAAATCTGTTGTTTCTGTACTGGACGCTGGTTTGGTGGTTTTGTACTGTATAGTTCTTTCTGCAGTTGTGACTGGTGGTGTAGTGTGGCTCTGGGTAGTGACTATGCCTGTTGTAATTTCTGGTTCTTCAGTTGAAACTCTCATTGTAGCTACATCTATGGTTGTACCAATGTCTGTTGAAGCATGTGGTTCTACACTTGTAGAGCTCGCTGTAGTTGCAGCCTCAATGGTGCTTATGTCTGTTGTAACATCCAGTTCTAAAGTTGTAGGACTTACTGTAGCTAAAGCCGTAGTGGATGTAATTTTCGTTGTAATGCCTGGTTCTACAGTTGTGGGGATTACTGTAACATCTGGTTCTTCAGTTCTAGAGATCGCTGTAGTTACAGTCTCAGTGGTAGTGATGTCTGTTGTAGATTCCTGTTCTACAGTTGTAGAACTTGCTGTAGTTACAGCGGTAGCAATGTCCGTTGTACTACCTGGTTCTTTGGTCGTAATTACAGAACCAGGGGTGATTACGTTTGTTGTAACACCTGGTTCTTTTGTTGTAGAGCTTGCTGAAGTTACGGCCTCTGTGGTGATCATGTCTGTTGTAAGTTCCGCTTCTTCAGTTGTAGAGCTTGCTGTTGTTGCTGCCCCAGTGGTGGTCATGCCTGTTGTAATGTCTGCCTCGGTTCTGGCAATGTCCGTTGTAACAACCGACTGTACAGTTGTAGAGCTTGCTGTAGTTACAGCGTCTGTGGTGATCCTTTCCGTTGTAATCTCTGGTTTCTCGGTGGTAACTCTTACCGTAGCTACAGCCTCCGTTGTAACGTCTGGTTCGTTAGTTGTTGAGCTTGCTGTAGTTACAGCCTTAGTGGTGGTCATATCCGTTGTAACATCTGGTTCGTCAGTTGTAGAACTTGCTGTAGTTACAGCGTCAGTGGTGGTGATGCCTGTTGTGATTTCTGGTTGTAAAGTTCTAGAGCTTGCTGTAGTTACAGTGGTGGTAATATCTGTTGTAATGACTGGTGCTTCGGTGGTAACTCTTACTGTAGCTACATCCTCCGTTGTAACATCTGGTTCTACAGTCGTAGAGCTTGCTGAGGTTACAGCCTCAGTGGTGGTTATGTCCGTTGTAACATCCGGTTCTACAGTGGCAGGGCTTGCAGTAGTTACAGCCTCAGTGGTGTATGTTGTAATTTCCGGTTCTACAGTTGTAGAGCTTGCTGTAGTTACACCGTCCGTGGTGGCCATGTCTGTTGTAATTTCTATTTCATCGGTAGTAACTCTTACTGTAGCTACAGCCTCGGTTTTGGCAATGTCCGTTGTAACAACCGGTTCTCTAGTTGTAGAGCTTGCTGTAGTTACAGCGTCAGTGGTGGTGATGTCTGTTGTGATTTCTGGTTGTAAAGTTGTAGAGCTTGCTGTAGTTACAGTGGTGGTAATATCTGTTGTAATGACTGGTGCTTCGGTGGTAACTCTTACTGTAGCTACATCCTCCGTTGTAACATCTGGTTCTACAGTTGTAGAGCTCGCTGAAGTTACGGCCTCAGTGGTGGTCATGTCTGTTGTAATTTCTGGTTCTAGAGTTGTAGAGCTTGCTGTAGTTACACCGTCTGTGGTGGTAATGTCTGTTGAGATTTTTGGTGCCTCGGTGGTAACTCTTGCCGTAGCTACAGCCTCGGTTTTGGCAATGTCCGTTGTAACAACCGGTTCTCTAGTTGTAGAGCTTGCTGTAGTTACAGCGTCTGTGGTGATCTTTCCTGTTGTAATTTCTGGTTTCTCGGTGGTTACTCTTACTGTAGCTACAGCCTCCGTTGTAACGCCTGGTTCGTCAGTTGTGGAGCTTGCTGTAGTTGCAGCGTCAGTGGTTATCATGTCCGTTGTAATTTCTGGTTCGTCAGTTGTAGAGCTCGCTGAAGTTACACCGTCTGTGGTGGCCATGTCTGTTGCAATTTCTGGTTCCTCGGTGGTAACTCTTACTGTAGCTACAGCCTCGGTTTTGGCAATGTCCGTTGTAACATCTGGTTCTACAGTTGTAGAGCTTGCTGTAGTTACAGTCTCAGTAGTGATCTTGTCTGTTGTAAGTTCCGGCTCTACGGTTGTAGAGCTTCCTGTTGTTGCTGCCTTAGTGGTGGTCATGCCTGTTGTAATTTCTTCTTCTTCGGTGGTAATCTTTATTGTAGCTACAGCCACGGTTGTTGCAATGTCCGTTGTAACATCCGGTTCTTCAGTCGTAGAGCTTGCTAAAGTTAAAGCCTCAGTGGTGGTTATGTCCGTTGTAATTTCCGGTTCTACAGTTGTAGAGCTTGCTGTAGTTACACCGCCTGTGGTGGCCATGTCTGTTGCAATTTCTGGTTTCTCGGTGGTAACTCTTACTGTAGCTACAGCCTCGGTTTTGGCAATGTCCGTTGTAACATCCGGTTCTACAGTTGTAGAGCTTGCTGTAGTTACAGTCTCAGTAGTGATCTTGTCTGTTGTAAGTTCCGGCTCTACGGTTGTAGAGCTTGCTGTTGTTGCTGCCCCAGTGGTGGTCAAGTCTGTTGTAATTTCTGCTTCTTCGGTGGTAACTCTTACTGTCGCTACAGCCTCGGTTTTGGCAATGTCCGTTGTAACATCCGGCTCTACAGTGGTAGGGCTTGCAGCAGTTACAGCCTCAGTGGTGTATGTTGTACTTTCCGGTTGTACAGTTGTAGAGCTTGCTGTAGTTACACCGTCTGTGGTGGCCATGTCTGTTGTAATTTTGGGTTCCTCGGTGGTAACTCTTACTGTAGCTACAGCCTCCGTTTTTGCAATGTCCGTTGTAACATACGGTTCTACAGTTGTAAAGCTTGCTGTAGTTACAGCAGTAGCAATGTGCGTTGCACTATCTGGTTCTGTGGTCGTAGGGATTGCTGTAATTACAGAATCAGTGGTAATTATGTCCGTTGTAACATCCTGTTCTACAGTTGTAGAGCTTGCTGAAGTTACGGACTCGGTGGTGGTCATGTCCGTTGTAACATCTGGTTCGTCAGTTGTAGAGCTTTCTGTAGTTACAACGTCTGTAGTGATCTTGTCTGTTGTAAGTTCCGGTTCTACAGTTGTAGCGCTTGCCGTTGTTACTGACTCAGTGGTGGTCATGTCTGATGTAATTCCTGGCTCCTCGGTGGTAACTCTTATTGTAGCTACAGCCTCGGTTGTGGCAATGTCCGTTGTGACATCCGGTTCTACAGTTGTAGGACTTACTGTTGCTAAAGCCTTAGTGGGTGTAATTTTGGTTGTAAAAGCCGGTTCACCAGTCGTAGGGATTACTGTAATATCCGGCTCTTCAGTCCTAGACTTTGCTGTTGTTACACCCTCAGTGGTGACTACGTATGTTGTAACATCTGGTTCGTCAGTTGTAGAGCTTGCTGAAGTTACGGTTTCAGTGGTTGTCATGTCCGTTGTAACATCTGGTTCTACAGTAGTAGAGCTTGCTGTAGTTACACCGTCTGTGGCCATGTCTGATGTAATTTCTGGTTCCTCGGTGGTAACTCTTACTGTAGCTACATCCTCCGTTGTGGCAATGTTCGTTGTAACATCTGGTTCGTCAGTTGTAGAGCTTGCTGTAGTTACGGCATTAGTGGATGTTAATTTGGTTGTAAAAGCCAGTTCATCAGTCGTCGGGATTACTGTAACATCCGGTTCTTCAGTCCTAGAGTTTGCTGTTGTTGCAACATCAGTAGTGATCATGTATGTTGTAATTTCCGGTTCTCTAGTTGTAGAGCTTGCTGTAGTTACGGCCTCTGTGGTGATCACTTCCGTTGTAATTTCTGGCTGCTCGGTAGCTACAACCTCGGTTGTGGCAATGTTCGTTGTACCATCCGGTTCCACAGTTGTAAAGCTTGCTGAAGTCTCAGTGGTGCTTATGTCCGTTGTAACATCCGGTTGTATTGTTGTAGGACTTACTGTAGCTAAGGTCTTAGTAGATGCAATTTTCGTTGTAATGCCTGGTTCTTCAGTTGTGGGGATTGCTGTAACATCTGGTTCTTCAGTTCTAGAGATTGCTGTAGTTACAATATCAGTAGTGATCTTGTCTGTTGTAAATTTCGGTTCTACAGTTGTAGAGCTCGCTGTAGTTACACCGTCAGTGGTGGCGATGTATGTTGTAATTTCCTGTTCTACAGTTGTAGAGCTTGCAGTAGTTACACCGTCTGTGGTGGTAATGTCTGTTGTAATTTCTGGACCCTCGGTGGTAATTTTAACTGTAGCTACATCCTCCGTTGTGGCAATGTTCGCTGTAACAACTGGTTCCTTAGTTGTAGAGCTCGCTGTAGTTACAGTCTCAGTGGTGACCATGTATGTTGTAACATCTGGTTCGTCAGTTGTAGTTACAGAAGTAGTAATGTGCGTTGTACTATCTGGTTCTTCGGTCGTAGGGATTGCTGTACTTACAGAATCAGTAGTGATTACGTTTGTTGTAACACTTGGTGCTTCATTCGTAGAGCTTGCTGTAGTTACAGCCTCAGTGGTTATTGTTTTAGTTGTATCTGGTTCTACCGTTGTAGACCTCACTGTAGTTACAGGGTCAGTGGTGATCTTATCTGTTGTAATTTCCGGTTCTGCAGTTGTAGAGCTTGCTGTAGTTACAGCCTCAGTGGTTATTGCTTTAGTTGTAACATCTGGTTCTACAGTTGTAGCGCTTGTAGTTACGGCTTCAGTGCTGATCGTTGCTTTAGTTGTAATTCTCGCTTCTTTAGTTGAGCCCATAACTGTAGCTACAGCCTCGGTGGTGGCAATGATCGTTGTAGCATCTGCGGTCGAATGCTCCGTTGTTGGAAAAACTGTAGTCTCCAGCTCAACCGGAATTGTTGTATGCTGTGTACTTGTTACAACACTTGTCACTGGACTTGTGGTTGTGTCTTGTGTGGATTCTTCACCAGTTGTAGCTTTACTTGTCGTGGTTGCAGCAGTTGACACTGACATCGTGGTGTCATCATGTGTCGTCGTTACAGCGGTGGATGCCGATGTGGTGGTTGGAAGTTCCGTTGTTCCTTCAACCGTTGACATGATTATTGTGCTGCCATCCTGTGCCTCTGTTGAGATCTTCTCTTCTGTTGAAGGAAAAACCGACACTGCCTCATGAGTAGTCTCTTGTTCAGCTGGTGCAGTAGATATAGACTGTTCTGACGTTGCAGCAATGGATACTGTAACATCTGGTTCTGTTGTAGAGCCTCCTGTAGTTATAGCCTCAGTGGTGAACGTGTCAGTGGCAACATCTGGTTCTACAGTTGTAGATCTCGCTGTAGTTACAGCCTCAGTTGTCATTGCTGTAGTTGTAACATCTGGTTCTACAGTTGTAGATCTCGCTGTAGTTACAGCCTCAGTTGTCATTGCTGAAGTTGTAACATCTGGTTCTACAGTTGTAGATCTTGCTGTAGTTACAGCCTCAGTGGTCATTGCTGTAGTTGGAACACCTGGATCTACAGTTGTAGATCTCGCTGTAGTTACAGCTTCAGTGGTTATTGCTTTGGTTGTAACACCTGGATCTACAGTTATAGAGCTTGCTGTAGTTATAGCCTCTGTTGTGCTCGCATCAGTTGTAATTCTCTCTTCTTCAGTCACACCTGTAACCGTAGCTACTGCCTCGGTGGTAGCGATGATCGTTGTAACATATTCTGTCGAATGCTCCGTTGTTGGAACAATTGTGGTCTCCTGCTCAACCGGAAACGTTGTATGCTGTGTACTTGTTATAGCACTTGTTACCGGCCTTGTGGTTGTGTCTCGTGTCGTTTCTTCAGTTGTAGTTTTGCTTGTCGTTGCTGTAGCAGTTGACACTGGTATTGTAGTATCATCGTGTTTAGTCGTTACAGCGCTGGAAGCCGATGTGGTGGTCAGAGGAAGTTCCGTTGTTCCTTCAACCGTTGACATTCTTATTGTACTGCCATCCTGTGCGGTTGGAAAAATCGACACTACCCCATTTGTAGTCTCCTGTCCTGTTGACATAGTCTGTTTTGGGGTGGCTGCAATGGATATTGTAACATCTGGTTGTGTTGTAGAACTTCCTGTAGTTATAGCCTCAGTGGTAAACGTGTCCGTTGTAACAACTGGATCTACAGTTGTAGATCTTGCTGTAGTTACAGCCTCAGTGGTCATTAGTGTCGACACTAAAAAGGTTGACGTCTCCGTTGTAGACTTCAGTGTCGTTGCTACAGCGGTTGGGACTGTTGTGCCACCTTGTGATGTTGCTGTAGCTGTTGATGCAGCTTCAGTAGAGAAAGGCTGTGTAGTTGCTGTTGTAAAAGTTGACATGTGTACTGTTGATTCCTGATCTTCTTTTGTTGGAATAATTGTCGCTGTTACATCAGTTGTTTCTTCTATTTCAGTCTGTTGCTCTTTTGTTGTTGCCGTTGACACTTTCGTCGTGGTTGTCACCGGCGTTGCTGTTATCGTTTTGGATTCATCTGTTGTTGGAATAACCGACACGGCTATTTTCGTCGTTGTATCCGGTAACACCTCAGCGGTAGGTACATCACTTGATACCTGGGTGGAGGTTTCATCGTGCGTCGCTGTATCGTCAGTAGACACTGGCATTGTGGTGTGCAGGTTATTTTCTGTCGTTGTTGAATATGGTGTTGTCTGAGCCCATGCCGTTGTGGCCTCGACAGTCGTGGTAGGGTCCTGCACTGTTCTAGCAGTAGACTCGGGTGTTGTAGATTGATCATGCATTGTGGTTTGGTGTTGTGTTGTTCCAACATTCGTTGATGCTGCAGTTTGCTCATGAGTCGTTGTACCAGACGTTGACACCGCCATAGTAGTTGATTCTCTCGTTGTAGTCTGCTGGTTTGTCGTTTGTGCCATCGATGTCTTCATAGTGGTCTTATTCGGCACTGTTGCTGTAGCAGTTGTCGTCTGAAAATCTTCTTGTGTTGGATTTATGGTCACTGTCACATCCGTAGTCCCTTGTTCAACTGTTGGAAGAACTGACACTGATTCATCCGTAGTCCCTTGCTCCAATGTTGGGACAACTGATATTGCTCCCTTTGTACTCCCTTGCTCCATCGGTGAAAGAATGGATTTTGTCGTACTTTCATCTTGCGCTCTTTTCAGAAAAATCAACGCTTCCCCTGTGTCTTTCTTGAGGTGCTGCAAAGCTAGAGCTGACAATGATATCGCGTTGATAGTTTTGGCGTCATTCGTAGACGCCCGTGTGTCAAGAGATGTGTTTTTAATGGTTTTCCCAGTTTTTGTTGAGTTTAGATTCGTCACAGGATCAAGGCCTCTAAGCTCTGATCTTGCACTATGTCTGGTTGAATTGAGTTTGTGTCCAATTGAAGTTTCTGTGGATTTGGCTGTTTTAATATATGTGCTGTTTGCAAACCGTTGATCACGGTACTGCTCATCATGCTCCGATGGAACAGGTGTTGTTGGTGAGAAGGCTTGTATCAGGTCTGCAAATGTAATGGTAGGTGACCCCAAAAATCTGGACGGCCGATTTGAAATGTCCAAATGATCTGGGGAAAAAAGCGATAAAAATCGTTATTAAAAATAGCATTCACATCCGGCATTATTACAAAACATGGTCAGAAAAAATATTTATATTGAAAAATAGGTTTTAACCAATACTGATGCAATATACAGCGCTGTCTCAATATATCTGAACCTACAAATTACATTTATCCAATAGACAAGACTGTATCAAGGTCTCAACCTACATTTGTTCAAGGAACAAGCCTGTCTCAAGTTCTCAACCTACATTCATCCAATGAGCAGGCCTGTTTCAAGAGTCAAGGTTTCAACCTACATTCATCCAATGGGCAAGCTTGTCTCAAGGTCTCAACCTACATTCGTCCAATAAGCAGCCCTGTCTCAGGGTCTTAACCTACATTCATCCAATGAGCAGGCTCGTCTCAAGATCTCAACCTACATTCATCCAATGAACAAGTTTGTCTCAAGGTCTCAACCTACATCCATCCAACGAACAGCCCTGTCTCATGACCTTAAGTTACATCGATCCAATGAACAGGCCTGTCTCAAGGTTTTAACTTACATTGATCCAATGAACAGCCCTGTCTCATATGGTCTTAACCTACATTCATCCAATGAACAGGCTTGTCTCAAGGTCTCAACCTACATTTGTCCAATGATCAGGCCTGTCTCAAGTTCTCAACCTACATTCGTCCAATGAACAAGCCTGTCTCAAGGTCTCAACATACATACATCCAATGAATAACCCTCTCTCATGGCCTTAAGTTACATCGATCCAATGAACAAGCCTGTCTCGTCTCAATGTTTCAACTTACATTTATCCAATGAACAGCCCTGTCTCATATGGCCTTAACTTATATCGATCCAATGAACAGGCCTGTCTCATATTCTCAACTTACATTGAACCAACAGACAAGAATGCCTCAAATGACCTAAATGAGCTTTGCATAATTGGTGACATTATTAACAGCTCTAAGACTGTTACATGCCTCTTTATCCGATCGTTATGTATGTATGTATGTATGTATGTATGTATGAATGTATGTATGTATGTATGTATGTATGTATGTATGTAAGTCTGACGTCTTCTGCTTCATATACATATGGGGTGCACAGGCGGTATCTTGGCCCCCTTACCAGGACTGGTTTACTTTAAGAGTAACTTTGAAAGAAGATTTATTACCAGTACCTGGCACACATTGAACAGTGGCCTAGGTTTAAAAATAGACACAGGTTACACAGCAGGCCCCATCTTTGTGTCAGTGACCTGCCAACCACAACACTTTAACAACGATCCTGTTCAAATTCCTGATTTCTTTACACGTTTGTGCCTCGTTACCGGTTTTCAATGCCCTTCCTTCAGAAATAAGGGGTTGTCCACGAGAAAAACGACAACTCAAGAGGAACACTTAGGAATGTTTACAACTTCTGTACTTAACATGCCGCCATTTTCTGCTCCAATTATGTGGATAATTTAGGTCAAATTTCCCAAACCTAGTAACATGGAAGCATGTCTTTATCTACATCATCAACATATAGAGAGAAAGTGGTTCTTTAATAACTTTTATTGTGTAAAACGTCTTTACTTAGCTTAAGCATGAAGTTAATTAAATCCTGCTTGTTTGTACATCTTTGTGTGGGGTCTATTTGCTCCTACAGGTGTCAGAATCAGACTTGTGTTACGCGTCTGACAAACACTGGTTACTATGGCTGTATGGACGGTGTGATACTGTATATATGATATGTGCGACATACAGATATTTCTACAATATACATGCCACGCAACGAAAGGTTTCAACAGACAGAACTGTAAACGAATCCGTATTTCATGAAAATGAAAGAATCCGGCCGCTTGGCTGTCTTTTCCACCAAGAACCAGTTTGGTATGCAAAACAACTAATACCTTCAGGCCTTCTTTCTCAGCTACTACTTCCCCCCTTATACAGTAGACATAAAAACATTAGACACAGCAAATAAAATAACGTCTATGTACGTACTACGTACTAAAGCTAGATATGCTGAGGGCAAAGTTGTCTATGACAGAGCAGTACATCTACGCATGACATAAAACAGAGGACACATACCTGTAGTTGTTCTCACTTGGTTCGACGAACACAACTGTATGGAGAAGAAAAGCAGCCACAGGACGAAAATCCAAAACGCGCGTTCCGCATTCCTGTACATTTTCCAACTGGTCGACGAACTTATCCCACGACAGCTATAGAAACGCGCACCGAGGAAAAGTAAAAGACCAACGCCGAAGCTTACTCATGCTGCGCACGATAGTATCAGTATATAGAATAGGGTCAGTACATAATGAACCATTATCCTACGTGAGAACCTAAAGATGGCCTTAGGCACTTCGCAACACATTACTTCCCCTGTGCTTACCTACTTGCTATTGTGCTAGTTGGAACACTTACCGGACCTGTCACAATTACTGTCTGAGTGATGGAGGGGCATCTTTTTAACGATTTGATACAGTCCGTTGCACTTTTCCGGGTTGTTTTGCTTGCTTCTCATTAAAAAGATTATATGAACTGATAAACTCTGATACGTGGACGCGGTGAATATGTGGATCGTCAACCTTGACACTTCGTGAGAGATGATTTTTTGCTGAAGGAACGAACTCTTATGTCTCTTTGAAAACAACTATGATTTATGAATGGCCTTTTATAACATAGCCGGGTATTGCTCCCTCCATACATAGGAAAATTCAAACACCACACTATCCAATGCTGTAGAGTATTGACAGTAAGACTGTTTTTTTTCCAGATTTTTACAGGAAATGTAACAGGTGGCACGTGCAAAGGGCAAATGTCACGCAGTCTTTCCCAGTTATGGATAGCCTTAGGTAAAACGGAAAATGACAGGTTGGATCCACAATGCATGTAAAGAAACCGGTTCGACAATTCCACCCAGTAAACTACTCTTGATCAAAGGTCACTCCAGGGTATTTATAGTAACCTCTTGTCAGGATCTGCATACTTGGAAAGTAAACTGGCCTGGAAAAGTACATTGTATTTGTGATTTCACCTGTGTCAGTTTGTTAAAGACGTCTGAGCATCTGCTGTATCGTAAACTGTGAAATAGTATATATATATATATGTAGTAGATATGAAGTATAT